CCCCCCCAGCAGCTTGAAATGCAAACTAGAGGGTAGCTGCGGTGTCTCCTATAATCTGATCTTGGAAGTAACATACCATCACTTCCGCTGTATCCTCAGGGCTGAACAAACTCACCTTGTACAACGAGGGAGGGGATTATACAAGAATGCGAATACTTGAGGCAGAAAGCTTTGGGTGACGCCTTGGAGGGTGACTGTCACTGTCCACACAGCAAAGAGTTTGGACATGTAAAGACAGGCAGAAAATGGCATGATGGATCTACAAGCCAAGGAACGCCAAGGATTGCTGGCAACCACCAGAAGCTGGAAGAGGCAAAGAAGGATCCTCTCTGGAGCCTTCAGGGGGAGCATGAGCATGCCAACGCCTTAATTTCAGACTTCTGCCCTCTACAACTGTGAGGGAATAAATTTCTGGGTTGTTGATTTTTTAAAAATTTCTTTATTGTTGGAAGTATTACAGATGTCTCCCCCCCCCACCATTGACCCCCTCCATAAATTTCTGTTGTTTTTATTCATAAAAATCAAAAGGTGGGAACAATCCAAGTGTCCACTGATAGATGAATGGATAAACACAATGTGGACCATCCAGACAATGGACTATTACTCAGCCTTCAAAAGGAAGTAAATTCTGACACATGCTACAATGTAGATAAATCCCGAGGATATTATGCTCAGCGAAATAACCCAGACAGACCTGGCCAGTGTTGCTCAGGGGTTAGAGCATGCACCGGAGGGTCACTGGTTCGATTCCTAGTCAGGGGCAAGTATCTGGGTTGCAGGTTCCATCCCAGGGAGGCAACCAATGGATGTGTCTCTCTTACATCCATGTTTCTTTCTCTTCCCCTCCCTCCCTTCCACTCTCTGAAAATCAGTGGGAAAAAATATCCTCAGTTGAGGATTGACAGTTAAATAGATAACCCAGCAAGGACAAATACTGTGTGATTTCACTCAGAGGCGGTCCCTAGAGGAGTCAAATCCAGAGGCAGAAAGTAGATGGTGGGAGCCAAGCGCTGGGGGAGGGGGAGTTAGTATTTAATGGGGCCAGAGTTTCAGTTTGGAAAGAAAGCTCTAGAGACGGGTGGTGGGGATGGCCACACAATAATGTGAATGTATTTAATACCTCTGAACTGTACACTTAAAAACGATTGAAACAGTGTGCTTGCTTAGGCAGGACATATACTAAAATTGGGTGACTGATAGAGATTACCATGACCCCTGTATAAGGATGACAAACAGATTCATGAAGCATTCTGTATTTTTTTAAAAAATGATTAAAATGGGAAATTTTGCTATCTGTATTTTACCACAATGAAAATACATCAATCTAAAATTTGTTGATTTAAGCCCCATTTGTGGTAACTTGTTACAACGGCCCCAGGAAACAAGTACATTTGTGTAATTAGAAACAATATCAAAAAAATTAGAAGGGCTCCTGCACGTGGACTTCTCCTTGCCCCACTTTACCGATGTGGAAGCTGAGGCTCAAAGGAGTCATTTCTTGGTGAGTGATGGAAGATGGTCCATGTCCCTTCCCTGTGGGTGGTTTGAGGGTGTCCCACATCCACCCACCCCTTTCAGTAAAAACCACAATGAAAAGAGCTTAGAAAATGTATTCCTTTTTTTTTCTTTGAAATAACACATACAAGCAGGGAAGCGGGGCATGGTACAGGTGGGGAGAGGTGGAAGCCTCGGGGAGGTCCTCTACTTCCCACAAACATCCTAGTTCTTCTGTAATCTTAATGGGGTTCTTCAAGGACTTGGAAAGAGTAGAAGAAGGGGTCCCCTAGTTATCCTAAGTTCAGAATCCAACTATAAAGTGCAGAATGTATATGGGGGTGTTGGGGCTTGGTTTCTTCACAAAGATGGGGGTGGTGAGGGAATGTCTGCTCCTCTCCATAGAAAAATAGACCTGGAGTGAGTCCTGGGGATTGGGTTTGTTTTGCATAATTGGATGCTTGGGTTTAGGGAAGGATGATCTGTGTAGACTTGCTCCTGGCTTCCAGCTCTGAAGTCTGAGAGGCTGGTAGTGCTGGGGCAGGGGGAGGTACCCCTAATGTGTCCCCCACCTCAGATTGTCTCATTGTCAGCCCCCAAGAAAGAGCAGCTGGATCCTCCAGGGGACCCAGGCTCTGGGAGTTTTCAGCTCATAAGGTGGGGAGTGGAAGACACTGCAGAAAGTTGGGGGGAGAGTTGGAGGGAGCCATGTTCCCACAGGGCCCAGAAGTATGGTCATGCTGGGGAAGTGGGGGGATCCAGTGCCTGTGCAATGCATGAGGGGCATCTAGCCATATCAGGACATTGAACAAGTCCCACCAGTTTTCTGGAGCCAGGATGTGGGGTTCCCACAGGCTCCCAGGTTTGTGCTGTGGTGGGGGAGGTCTTTGGGGTCTTGTGTGTCTGGGTCAGGGGACATGTGGGGTCCAGGTTGCTGTGATCTGCCTACTGGGATCTAGACATGAGATGTAAGCATTTGGGAGTCAGTGTCTGGGAGGATTCAGGTCAGAATCCAGGGGCTAAGGGGTTGGGATCCAGGGCTTGGACATGTCAGGGTCTGTTTCCTGTGGGTGGTTTTAGTATCCAGGGCCTGAAGTGAGGGGATTGGGGAGCCAACAGCTGCTGTTGCCAGACTCACTCACTCTACCATTGGGCTTTCATGATTGTGGCTTTAGGAGCTAGGATCCAATGTGTCAGGGCTTGTGGATCTGGAATCTGGTGAGTTGGGGGTTGAAGGTGTAGTGGTTGAAATGTAGGGATCTGGCAGATGAAGAAGAGGGATCTGGGACCCAGGGTTGAGGTAAAGGAATTCAGGAATCCAGTGGCTTGGATGAGGGGATCTGGGATCCAGTAGTGGGGGCCCCAGGGTCTGGGCATTGCACTGTCAGGAGCCGGTGGCTGAGGTTTCTTGATATCCAGGATCCAGTGTCCAAGCTTGGAAATCCAAGGATTGAAGCATGGAGGTCTGGGATCTGCAGGTGGGGTTGGGGATCTGGGATCTAGTGCTGTATGAAGACATTGGATCTGGTGCCTGAGTGAGCTGGGGATATGTGCTCCTATGGTTGGGGTTTCAGGATTCATTAGCTGAGTTGTGGGGGATCCAGTGGTTAAGACATGGAGATCTAGGACCCAGTGTGTGTGTGTGTGTGTAGGGGAGTGGGGAGACAGGGAAACATGGGACCCAGTACCTGGGATGTGGGATGCAGGACCCAGTAGATGAAGTATGGGGATTCTGTGGTTTGAGTGGGGGGCACCTGGGATCCATTGGCTGGGCCATCGGTCTCCAGTGGCTGAGGTGTAGGGGACGTCATGATTGAGGTGAGAGATCTCAGTGAGGGTGGCTCTGGGTCCCTCACCTTGACGTAACCCCGAGGGCCTGCTTCATGTTCTCGTAGACCACATAGGAGATGCTCACAGCTGGGATAACCTTCATGAAGTTGGGGGCAATGCCCCGGTAGAGGCCCGGTATGCCCTCCTGGGACAGGATGTGACGGAGCAGACCCAGCATGGAGAGCTGGGGGGCGCCCTCGATGGAGGCTGGGAGGGGTAGAGGGCAAGGTCAGGCCAAAGGTCCCCTTCTGCCTTCCCCCTCCCACCCCTCAGGGCTGGGCCAGGAGGCAGTTGCAGCAGGAAAAAGGAAGGTTAGACTAACAGCAGGACCTACCACTCAGAGTCAGGACTTCTACTGGCCTTGGAATGGACTGTTCACCTTTTCACTTCAATCTGGAGGGCCCAAGTTTGGGGACTCTTCAAAACAGAGCAGGTATGAGTGTGTGTAATGGGAGAGGGCATAGAAGTGTCCTCTTCCTAGAACTCAATTCCCATCCTCTTCTCCTAGCTAACTCTTACTCATCCTTGCAAACTCCATTCTAAAGTCAGCTCTTCAGGGGGCCCTCCTGGGCACCCCAGTCTAAGTCAGGCTCCTTTCCCCTTTATTCAACTCTAAATCCATACTCAATAATGGAATGACTTACTCGGCATCTTTCTTCCTCTCCTGCCTGTGAGCCCTTTGAGGGTGGGGGTCTATATCTGTCTTATGCACCAACAACCCCCCATTGAAAACCATGGAACACAAACGCTAAAATTCCCTAGGAAATTCTCAAAATAGATTCAGGGATAGTAGGGGAGAATCAAGGAAAGAATCCATGAAAGAAAAAGACAGAGAAACACAAAACGATAACCAGCCTGGCCCTGCCTCTCCTTAACCTGGTTCCTTACCTTCCCCTCACTAACCCAGCCTTGCAAATTAGATCTCAAGTTACCAGCCCAAATATGCTGAAGTCTATTAAGCGGCCTTCCAGCTAAGATTGCTTGGGCCCTTCTTGCACTCGTTTCATCTGTTCTCCTAGTTAGGGCAAAGGGGTCCCATTCCAATGTTACAAATGGGTACACTGAGGCCCGAGAAAGGTTGGGAATTGGTCAAAGCCATCCAAATCCAGGAGGACTCCAACCTGGGATTCTACCTACCCAGGAGGAGGAGCTAGGGAAGGGGAGGTGAGACCCAAATTGTGAGACCTTCTCTGCCCCATCCTCCCACCCAGGCAGGCCTCACCTTGGGCCTGCATACGGGTCCGGACCAGGGCCAGGGGATAACTGGCTATCTGGCCACAGGTGCTGGAGATGGTGCCACAGGCCAGGAGCACGAGGATGCCTGGGTCAGCCGAGTCATGGCTATACTGCTGGAGCCACCGGTTCTTCAGGGTCTGGCAGAAGTAAAGAGGGGAATAGGGTGGGTTGGAGGTGGGTGACACCAGGACCCTTGCTTCACAGACCTCGCTGGCTAGCTTCTGTATCCTATGACAGCTGGTACTAGCTCAGCACTTTGTACCCTTAGGTGCAGCACAAGCATTTTACCTGCACCCTCACATTCAGCCCTCACCTCTACCCTTTATGGAATATGGAATGATGGCCCCCCTACTGTCCATGCCCTAGTCCCTGGAACATATGAATATAGAGCCTTATGTGGCAGATGGGATTAAGTTAAGGACCTCGAGATGGGAGATGATCCTAGAGTATCCAGGTTGGTTCAATGTAATCACAAGAGTCCTTATGAAAGTCAGAGGAGATGTTATGACAGAAGCAGAGGCCAGAGAGATAGAGAGAGAGGTTGGAAGATGCTATGCTGCTGACTTTGAAGAGGGAGGAAGGGCCTACAGGCTAGGGAATGCAGGCGGTCACTAGATACTGGACAAGGTAAGGAAACAGATTCTCCCCTGGATGCCTCAGAAGGACCATAGCCCTGCCCACACCTTGATTTTAGCCCGTTAAGACCCATTTCAGACTTCAGCGCTGTGATGGATTAGTGATGTCTGGCCTGGTATGGAATGGGCAAGTGAGAAGCAAGTGTTTTACCATTATCGCCTTCACAAGTATAGATAGCCTTCTCTTGGGTCTGGAGCAGTATTTGCCAAATAGGTGTTTAACGAGTTTGTAAGAGATGTTCTATTAAAAAGAGGTTCTGATGACTAGATAAGTGTGGCCAACACTGGGCTAAAAAAAAATTTTTACTTTTCTGCAGGACTTCTCAGAGCCTTTAAAGGACTAACAGATTTTGAAACTTCAAGAGGACATAGAGTTTCTCAAATTACTTAGATCTCCAAAGTCCCTTTTTTGGTGAAGAATGGATGAAACAAGTTTGAGTCTTACTTCTGCTTACGACTCTCAAAGGCTTCTAGTTGCACTAGGGATAAACCTAAACTCTTTCTAATTGAGTCCTTGCTCACTCTTCAGTTCCCTCCAGCCATTCAAGACTTGCACTCTGCCAACAGGTCCAGTTCATTTCCTGCTTCCGGACCTTGGCATTCACTGTGCCTTCTGCCTTGTTCACACATATATCCCTCCCAATATATGTTCAACTCATTGCTACTCCAAGATCACTTCTCAGAGACATTCCTAGACCTGCCCTCCAGTCCACTGTACTTTTGATTACATATCCTGTTTTATTATCTTCTGAGAGTGCATCAGGATCTAAAAGTACTTATTTGCTGGTTGACTGGCTTCCTAGTTTGTTGAAGTGGTGTTCAGGAGGGAAAGGGCTGTGCTGTTCTCATTTGATAAGGCAGCCAGCCCAGTGCCCAGCAAATATGTGTGCTTAAGTGAATGAATGAATGAATGAATGAATGAATGAATGAGTAATGGCCATGTCCTATTTGGCTGCATAGATGCTGGGTGCTGGGAGGGCAGGTATGGATGGCAGGTATGGAAGATTTTAGATCAGGACCAGCTATGTAATTTGAGCAGCCCAGTGTAAAATAAAAATATGCGAGGTTCCTTGTTCAAATAATTATTAGGAATTTCAAGATGGCAACAGCAGAGCTTTGAACCAAATGAGGAGCCCTTCTGAGTTGAGGCCCATGGTTGTCCGCCTGTGAAGCTGACTCTACCCTAGATACAAAGATTTTGGGGGATGCCTGGGAACATCTGAGGCTGTGCTAATTGGGGAGAACCTGGTGATTCCACCAGGAGAAGGTAAAAGCAATGGACGCGGCCCCTGGAAAAGAAACAGCAAAACTCCCTGTTCTTGCCTTTTCTGATAAAGGTACCAAGATGCTGGTCACAGGGTATGGATTTTATGGTGACACAGATGCTGAAATGGGCAGGCCCTGAAGAAGACATTGGCCTAGAGATATAGGCTGGGTCCAATACAAGCTTTGGGGTAAAACGAGCACCTTTGAAGCTCATCTTCACCTGTTCTCATGATTCTGTGAGCTGAAATGGGTCCCGAATATCATGTGTCCTGAGACCCCGGAGGGCTGAACTGCAGTGGTAAGTGAAAGAGTAAGGATATCTAATGCCTGAAAGGGTTCCCCAGGATCCCCAGGTTCATGGTGCTTCTCTACCCCCGGATTGTCTCCCCTAGTTCTGGAGGTCAACTGAGTCAGCCCTACAGGAAGGGGGTGGCCCATGGGCAGATCCCAGAGGGAAGAAGAAAGGAGAGGGGGCGGGCTGCCCACAGACCTCGTAGACGGCCAGGTCGATGCCCGCGTAGGGAATGATGCCCAGCACGTTGGGCAGGTAGCCATGGTAGAAGGCGCGGGGCCCTTCTCGCTCCATGATCCGCCACGCGCAGTCCAACAGCCCCTTGTACTGGCCCGTCCGGCGAAGGGTCAACCGTGTCTTTAGTACCTGGGGAGAACCCGGTTATCCCTGGAAAGCTACCTCTGGAATCACTACATCCAGGAATGAAAATACCCAGAAATAGCTACTCCTGGAAGGAGATACCCTGAGAATAAGTGAATTTAAAAAACCACTTTCTCTAGAATCTTCTGCTACCTCTAATCTCTATACTTAAAAATGGCTGCATGTGGCAGCCACTGCTAACAGTTTTCCAATATCTTGGTCCTTTCTCCCTTAATAATAGAAACCATACTTTTCAGGATATTATGGCCCATAGCCTTTAGAAATAAAGATTACCTTTCTCAGCTTCCCTAGGCGTGGGGCCATGTGATTAAGTCCTAGCCAATGAAACAGAAGCAGAAGGAGAAGAGGTATGCATGACTTTCAAAAAGCATCCTTAAAGGCAGGGAGAGGTTCTTTTCTTTGTCTATTCTTCCTTCTCAGCTGGAATGTGGATGGGATGACCGGAGCACAAGAAGTCATTTTTGTCCACGAGGTGGATGCTACATGCTGAGGTGGTGGAACAAGACAGTGGGAAGGAACCTGCGTCTCTAACACTTGAAGCCACATACCAGCACTGAACTGCTCGCCTCTAGACTTCACTTATGTGATTTGACTTTTCCATCACTCAGAATCCTAACTGACGCACTACACAACATGAAACCTGAAATGATTTCTCTGAAAACAGTTTTATCTAGAAATGATTCCCTTGGGAACAAGCACTGTGGAAATCAATGTTCTTGAAAGAGGTATATCCATAAGTGGCTGCCCCTGCAATGGCTGTCTAAACAGTTATAACAACACCACCATTCCCAGAAGTCACATCTCAAATTGTAGTTCCCAGAGAGGTTACACTTGAAACAGCACTGCTGTAATGAGCTACAGTCTGAATCAGGGAGAGCCAAAGTTATAATCACACCACGAAGGGAAATGATTATTGGAGGCCCCCTACCCTGCACTGCGTTCCCCCCTTCTTACCTCCATGGGGTAAATGATGGTTTGGGCTGTGGCACCAGCCAAGGATCCAGCCACAAAGCGCTCCTGCACACGCAGTGTCTCCTGCTGTCCCCGAATGGCCCGCTTGATCTGAGGGTGGGAGACAGAGCGGTGGGCAGAACCTTAGGGGTTGAGCTTTCTGTGCACTTGGACCTCCCCTCTACTGTCCTCCTACTGTGGGCATCATGTAGGGGAACAGATGCCTACTCTTAGGGACCTGCAGATATCTCCCTCCCCCAAGCCAATCCTGCAAATCCTAGCTTATGCCTCCGCACACCTGCTCCCACCTGCTCATAGGCCATGAATTTGATAGCTGACTCAGGTGCAATCTTGAGCACGTTGATCCCATTGCCACGCCACAGAGAGCGCACTCCCCCCTCTTGGATCATGTTCCGTAGGCCTCCAAGGATGTTCAGCTGGTTGGTCTTGGAGGCATGGACCTGGGCAGGGAGAAAAGGTAACTCTGGAGTCTCCTCCAGGGGCCCAGGCCTGGGGGAGAGGGTGAGTCACTCCAGGGCCCCTCACCTGCATGAAGACCTTGAGGCGGTCCAGAGGGGCTGTGCCTGTCCTTGACACGGCACCTGCCACTGCACCAGATACCAGCTGCTTCCACCACATGCCGGTCAGCTTCTCCTGCTCTGAAAACTCATCAGGGACAGTCAGGCACTCACCAATGTCCAGGACCTGAGGATGCAGGGGTGAAGAGACGTATCACAGCTCTAAATGGGGATGTCTCCAAGAATCCCCAGACACCCAGACAGTCCATCAATGAATCTTACTTCGACTGCCCAGGTGATCCCTGCCAGATCCCACCAAAACATCCAAGTCAGTCGTCGCCCATGTAAGATACTAATGTCCTTCCTTGGGGACCTTGAAAAAAATCCCATTGAAGGATTTACCACATAAAGACCCCTCCAGAGCCAATAGGATCCCTCTAAAGGATCCCACTCAAGGGTCTCCCACATAAGGATTCCAGAAGATCCTTCTAGGGCCATACATGATCCTATAGGGGACCTCCCATATAAGGTACCCAGATCCCTGCCATGGCCTCACCAAACCCCACAGGGATTTCCTCCACAGGGATCATCCCTTCTCTAGAGTCCTCTTATAGACTTCCCAATTAAGCCCCTCCATGAATCTCTGGACCTCTCAAGAACATCTCACCATATCCCACAAATGGATCCCCTCCAAAAGCCATCAGTTCCTACCAGAAACATTGTTCAAGAATTCTCCCCCAGGAAATGGCAATCTAGAGCACCCCTCTCAAATTCCAGTGGATCCCACTGGACCCTCTGAAAATAGTGGCTTCTTAACTTGTCTTTTCAGCAGCAGAATCCTTAATTGAGGCAGTGAAAAACTAGAAGGGGAGCTGCATGGGTTGAGGGTGGGAGGCGAGGTGCCCCATCTGGTGAGCCCTTTCTTCCCTGCACTCCCAACCCCCACAGACTGCTCCCAGAGGCCCTTCAGAAAGTCTCAAGGGCTCCAATCAGATTGCAGAGACCTCCTAAAATGGGTCCTCAGTCCCTCGAGTTCTGAATGGAGGAAAAGAGGAGCAGAGTCTCATTCCTTAGCTACTCCCAGTGGCTCCTCCTTCTACAGCATTCTGACCCAGCCTCTCCATGTCCTGGGGAGACCAGAGCTAGGCCCCCAGGGGAGGAGGAAGAGGACCCTGCCACTAGGCTGGGAAAGCCACCCCACCTCACCGTGGAATGCTTCCAGAAATAGAGCACATCTTCCATATTCTCCAGTGAGTGCAACAGGAAGTGGTCACGCCATTCCTGCCAGTCGATAGTCATAGTGCCATCACGGTCCATGCTGGGGATGGGGGTGGGACAGAATCAGTGCCTGAGGCTGGGGGTGGGTTGGAGTGAGGTTCTGGTTGGATTTGGGGTAGATCAAGCTCGTCTGCACTGAGAGCTGACCATTTTACAGTGGGGAAACTGAGGCTCAGAGAGGTAAAGCAACTGGGCCAAGATGGACCTGACTCCAAAGCTCAACTTCTCAGATCCACCCACCCTGGTACTTGGTCTGGGGCCCAGAGGCTTGAGGTGGCCAAGGGGTACCAGGGAGCAGAGTTACCTGAGATTTTGGATTGCAGCTACTCACCTATGTAGAATTTTCTCTGCCTGCTCCAGAGAGATAGAAATGCCCAGAGCTTGGAAACTCTGCTGGATTTCAGAGACATCAATGTGACCTGGGAACCAAGACGGGGACAGATATGTGTGTCTGGGGGGGCGGGGGCTGAGACTGAGGAGTAGGACAGCTTGAAATGGGAGTGGTTTAGCAAGACCAGGGGATCCAGAAACCCAGAGTGAAGTTTGTGGCAGGGTTGGGAAATGTTGGGGGGTCCTCTGTTCCATGAATAAATGAAAGTGTGAATATAGGGGTAAATATGGGGCTCCCTACACCATGGAGTATTAAGAGGTGATATTGGAGACCTAGAAGATGCTTTGGGGAGGAGGGTCTCAGTCCCATAGGGAATCCAGGAGCAACAGGGGGGATCTTTGTCACTTTGAAAAATCTAAGGGTAAATTATAGGGGTCCCACTCCAGGAAGGAAAGGAGGTGGGATGGCTGTCTAGGCCCCAAACCACCTATCTGGGGGTGAGGAGGGTTCCCAAAATAGCCTGTGAGTCATCAGGGAGAATTGGCCTTACCCCTCCTCCTGGCATCACCAGTTCTATCCCCACTGGCATCTCTGGGGCCCCCACAGCCCCATCCCTGGGCCTTACCATCCTGATTCCGGTCCAGGCTGTGGAAAAGCAGCAGCAGGCGCTGTTCCCGCTCCTGCAGGTATTGGCTAAACTCTTCCAGGTCCAGACCGCCATTTGGGTCAGCACCACCCTCTGGGGAGGGGCCCTGGCATGGGGGAAGGGACAGAGGGAGCTCCAGGAGGCTGCTCCTCCATTTGGAAAAGGCATAACAAGCTTACATTCCAGGAATCCAGGGCTACCACCAGTGCCTAGAGGACAGGGACAGGGGAATTCACCCCCTTCCTCCATCAGCTTGCTTCTCAGCAAGATGTCCAAGAGTACAGAAGGGCTGTGAGGTGGATAGTGGTTGTCCAGTTTTCCTGGACAGCAAACTGAGGCTCTCCAAGGTCAAGTAACTCGTTCAAGGTTACAGAGCTGGGAACTGGGAGGTAGCATTGGGCTCTTGTCTCTGAAAGCCTGTCCTCCCAGTTGTCTCTTACAAAAAACCCGTCCCTATGGCAGTTTCAGTAGTTCCCCTTAGAGACAGCTCTGGGCAATGTGGGGCAAAGACAAATCCACGCTGAGCAGCTGTGGGGCCTTCGTGTTCCCACCTGGAAAGTGGGAGGTTGGACAGGAGGTGCCAGTATGCTGTAGAGCCACCCCAGTAGCATCTGGGGCTACAGGTGTGAGGGACACCTGCATGGGCCCAGGGGCAAGTTCATGCTTTCATAGATGCATCCCCAGATGAAGGTGGCCTCAGCCAGGATTGGGTCCCTGGCTGGGGCAGCCTGGGGCACTGAGCCAGGTCTGGGAAAGGGCAGGAATGTAAACAAAGAGACTAGGGCAGCAAGGGGGGAGGGCAGGTGT